ATATATATATATATATATATATATATATATTGATTACACACTTATGTAACTGAACACTCAAGGCAAAAAAAAGAGGACGCACTAAAACAGATGCCAGTTCTTGCCCAGAGGGAAACGTAGGGAATACAAAAGACACACAAGACTTCCCTTCCAACATATTATTGTGCATTTAACAACCTGCCTTGAAACATAGAATTATAGAATAGAATCATAGAGTTGGAAGAGATCCCAAGGGCCATCCAGTCCAACCCCATTCTGCCATGCAGGAACATCGTTGACATAACTGGAGAGCCCTACTGCAGGACCCTCCCTCCCTCTCTTTCCTTCCTTCCTTCCTTCCTTCCTTCCTTCCTTCCTTCCTTCCTTCCTTCCCTCTTCCTTCCCTTTCTTACTCTTTTCAGTCTTTGAGCTCATTGCCCCCATCAAACTGGGTCCTCATTGTAGCCACCTGGGAAGGATGCAAGGCTGAGTCAACCTGGAGCCCCTGGCTAGGATTGAACTCACAACCTTGTGGTTTGTGAGTGAGTGGCTGCAGTACTGACATTTAACTACTGCACCATCAGGGCTCCTGCAGTAATAACCCAGTTTAACATTGCTGTAACTGCCCTGGCTCCATACTGTGGAAAGTGGCATTTCAGGCAGCCATAACAAGCTCCAGTTCCCAGAATTCCACAGCATGGAGCCAGGGCCATCAAAGTGGGATCAAAGTGCAGCAGTTATTGCTGCAGTGTAGACAAGGCTATAAGGCGAGGTGGGCCCTTCAACTGGACCCCTTGTTTTCCTCGCTTCCAGCTCTGGGCCAGGGTTCAGGGGGAGAGAGAGCGATCAGCGCCAGGGGCAACCTGGGAGCACCAGGAGTTGGCCACCTGGGAAAGGGAAAGGCTGGGGGCAAGTCAAGTGCTCCCAGGGGGGTGGAGTTTAAATGTTCAGCCCTGGCTGCACCTCTCATAAAAACCCGGAGGGCCCCTAGGAGGATGAGGAAGGTGAGCCAGCACATTTCTCCTTAGAAGAGTACCCAAGGGCCATCTAGTCCCATCCCGTTCTGCCATGCAGGAATACACACTCAAAGCATCCCTGATCAATGGCCATCCAGCCTCTGTTTAAAAGCCTCCGGAGAAGGAGACTCCACCACACTCTGAAGCAGTGCATTCACTGCCAAACAGTCCTTACCATCCAGAATTTCTTCCTAAAGTTTAAGTGGGATCTCTTTTCCTGCAGCTGAATCCATTGCTCCCTGTCCTAGGGCCTGAACAGATTGCCATAAATAATCCAGCTTGAGACCACTTTAACTGCCCTGGCTCAGTGCTAGGAAATCATGGAAGCTATAGTTTATTGTGGCACCAGAGCTTGCTCCATCCTCAATAGGTCATCCCTTCATATATTTAAACATGACTATCGTGTCACTCCTTGACCTTCTCTTCTCTAACTAGACATATTCTGCTTCCTAAGCTGATCCTCATAAGGCATAGTTTCCAGCCCTTTCACCATGTTAGTTACCCTCCTCTGGACATGTTCCAGCTTGTCAATGTCCCTCATGAATTGTGGTGCCCAAAACTGTGGCTAGATGTGTAGGCAGAACGAAAGACGAGCGGTGGGTAAGGCCAGAGCCCAAAGCAAGCAGGGCCACTTCTTCTTGGGAAGTGACAGTGAAGAAACCAAGCCAATCTATGGTCACATACAGAGTGTCAGCGAAAGCAGAAATGTGGCCAAGGCAGTTCAAGATCTAATGGTGAAATGTAGGGCCCAGTGCCAATCAGAAAGTCCCTGAGAAAGAGTGATCCAAGGTACATACCAGAGTCCAGAAATCTACAGAGTGAGAAACATGGGCAAGGCAGTATTGGAGCTGTTGGTTGAAGCAAAGGAATGACTTTGGCTATGCTAACTTACAGCTGGCTGCAGATCGTCACAGCTGGCAAAAGTAGCTTAGTATTTTTGTTTTGAGGCAGATCAGGAGGTTTCCTGTTCCATTTCTGTCTACGATTTTCCCCAGGATAAAGTGGCTCTGTGTTTACTTTGTGATCTTCAGGAGATGCATGGGAGCCTCTTATCTTGGCTCTCCTCTGAGGAGGCCTCCTCCAAGTAAGACATAACACTGGTGGTTTCCGTATCAGTGAATGGATG